GGCTGGAGAGGAAGGAAATGGCTTCCTCTGCGTGACAGCAGCCAGCGAAGCTTGGAGTGGGTAAGCACCATTTTTACACCAGCCTTTCTGTGGCCTCCCAAGCATCATTCTTTAAACCACTAGAAATTTTTCCAGAGCAATCATGTAAGTGCAGTCCTTGTCTCCATGGACTTGCTGGCACAGGGGGTAGTTGCCTTTCCGTGAGATTTTTCATCATTCACAGAGGTGTACACACCATCAGAGCTCACAGTGTTTCACAACTTTACTACTTCCACCTACCACAGCTAAAGAAATATAGTTTATTTAGAGAAGCAAAATTAAAGATACAAATTTCCATCGGTGGGAGTGGACTGAATTTCTACTTACTGCTAGTATATTCAACAATTCAAGTTGGGATTGCTTAATCCAAGCCAGGATTTTTGCCAAGTACATGTGGAATCTATTTCATCAGAAAATTCATGGTCAGTTCTCTTCCTAAGTGGTTCCAACTATGCATGATGGGATCTCCGGGTATAATCACTTGAAACAGCATCTTCTTCCTTTTCTGTATCTCAGGGCAGTCTATCTTCTCCCATGTCTAGCTAATATGCCTTCTGTTACATGGTGGCTTTATACGTTTCCCTATTTTCAATTATTCTGAGGACCTTTTCTGTATCTGGGTTATCTAATCAGCAGCAATTAGTTGGATTTCTTTCCCTTGGAGCACTGCAATAACAGCCTGCAGAGACTGGAAGAAACTGCTTCTTGTATGAATCTGACTCATATTTGAATTGCTTCTCTGTGCTCTCTAGCCAAAAATTCAAATGTCAATAAATCAAGAAGCTAAATGAGTCCTGATATGTTTTGTTAGGCACAAACAAGGGCAAACTTTCCACAGGAAGAGTGAAGTTCTTACCTGTTTACTGGCAACCCTGGTTTCACCTGAAATTCCATACCACAACTGTACTTGCAGGGCTGTATTGGCACCTGGCCTCTCTAAGGAGAGTTGCATTAACTGTCTGGTGAGTTGGCAGGGAATAGGTGTCCAGCAGAATCATCTGATACTACAAGATTTTCTGCCTCAGGGCGATTCTGTTAATTTTGCCTAAATGTAAATTGATCTGACCACACTGAATAAAGAAATTCTGCCATTCTCTCTGTGTCTCTATTCTGTCTATCCCTGAGCCCATTTCAGGAAAGTACCTAAGCGTGCTGGAAGCAGAAGGCTCCTTCTCGATTTCCACCCTGATGGGGCTGCAGGGACTTGTATGAAGAATGCAAGCCTCTCTGCTTCCAGCAACACACACATGCTCGCCAAAGAAGCAAAATTTCTGCCTATGTGCACACACCACACAGCTGTGCAGTGAGGGGGAGGTTCTTGGAGGCAATATCCAATCTGTTATATATTCATTCACAAATGCAGGCAATGGAAGTCTGGTGGGCTTTGAGACCTTCTGTACCAGACCTACTTTAAGGAAAAAACCCAAATGACCAAAGCTGCTTTTGCCAGATCCTGATGTTGAGCAATTAGGAACAGCTCAACAGCTCTCTGACAGCTCCTCTCAGGTGGGAACAGCCTAGGTTTGTTATTTCAGCGTGACAAACCCTCTCTGAATTGGGGCTGTTCAAATGCCCAGTATTCTGCCGGGAAAACATCACTTTACTCACATTTTAATATTCAGTCTCCTTACCTTGATCCACATGGTCTTAGGAGCATTAGCCCGGATGTTAGCATGATGCCACGAGAGGTATTCATCTACCTGGGCCCGTTTTTGTATGTCTGATGGGTACCAGTGGTCGGGAGTGTTGTACTTTCGACTCAGATACAGCAGAATGGCAGTGCTGCTCAGACATTAACAAGAGGCAAGAAAGGGGTCAGGGAGTTATGATGCAGAATACTTTTGCCTAAGCTCCCTCTCCTGCCCCTTCTGAACTTGCTGCTTCCACTAAAAAGCATTCAGATCAGGATTTCTGATGGAGTCTAGGGACCATATATAGGCATTTAATTCATGTTGACATCAGAGATGGCACTTAATCACCTTGGTTCCCATGAAAACTTTAACCTGCTGGAAAATCACAGCACTGTTATACGGTGCAGAGTACTGCTGGACAGTACTGGGGTAAACAAACAATAAAGCTCCATATTCATCTATCAGCAATGTTAACCCCACTTGTTCCTCGACTGTTCTGACCCATCTCTCTGAGACCTGTGCATGTTTATGTGCTTGTGTACTAAATGAAACTCTCTAATGCGTTATATTGCCTTTTCATCAGATCTCTCTCTAGCCTGCAGCTTCCGCTGAAGTCAGTGGAAGTCCCAGCAAGGACAGCCTACAGAATCTCTTTGTGTTTGTCCAGATGTTTATTCTTTCACTAATTGGCAGGAGAAGTCAGATGGAAAAATATCTTAGTCATCTGCAACAATATGTAGGCTGTTACTACAAAAAGAGATGCCACAGAAAATCCTGTGCTGACAAAACGGAAGAAAATGCAGACCCTCCTACTATGCTGATAGTATAGCAGAACTATAGTTCAATTATTTCAGTATTATGACACCATTAACCAGTCTCCATATTAATCTTATAATGTAAAACCTAAATTGTATCTCTGTAGGTGTTCACTTGGTCTTTATGACTAATTCAGATAAACAGATTTTCTTCCTAGGGTAAAAGAGATTTTTATAAGCTTTAAACATTTCCCAGAAATGTTTATAATCCCATTTTGAGGTAAGTGCATTCAGGGTAAGATCAAAAAGTTAAGTCAGCTCATTTGTTACATTCTGAAAGATAATTCAAACAGAAAATGGGAACAGAGCAAATGAGGTTATACTATTAAAAATAACCAACACGTTCATAAATTCTGTGATCCTTAATCATTCAGCGGGAATGACATCTCCTAAATGCTGCCCAGTATTGGTACCCAAGGAAGTCTAAGGACTGAGTTCTCACCATTCTGCTAGGGTGAAGTCTCCATCCTTTAGTGCCGGTACTTTCTTCAAGAGGCTGACTTTGCCAGCTCCTTCACTATTTGATGGCCCTAAGAACATGAACAGACAAGTCAGAGGTTAGAAGTGTATCTGCCAGTGAATGACAAATGAAATACCTGTAGCCAACCGGACAATCGGTGAACTGTGTTAGGTTTTCCCTATATGGTCATATTTCACAACTAAAAGGTAATGAAATTGAAGAGTCAGTGTAAAAGCTATCTGCAGAGGGCAGTGGGCTCAGGCCGGGCATGTGGCATGGAGCAGTTCACATTTCTATACAGGAATTCTATTACTGCTGGTACCAGTAATACTTGCAAAACTTAGTGAAAAATCACTCCATAGGAGGCATTTAGATACCACGCTGAAGGTGCTGCTATTGAAAACACTATTGCAGATAACCAGGAACAGCTAACTGACTTGAGAACAGCGTGTCCTATGGCTTCAGAGACAGCAGGGAAAAAGACAGAAGTTATGATGAAGACAACTGAGCAGCTAGAAGATACTTAATATTTGCCAAGGAAGCAGGGTCTGGAAAAGTTGAGTTTGCATGCAGAGCATCCTAAGGAGGGCAGATGGTTGCTACTCCTGCTCCTGTTCCCACAGGCAACACCAAAACAAAGTAATTTTCCTGCAGTTTGTAAATGTGGCTGACTAGCTAGGATGGAGTCATGATGGAAAGCAACTGAAAAGCCTTGTGCCCACAGAGATCACTGCGGTGGCTAATTAATCAAAGAGAACCCGGCTGGCTTATAGACAGATGGAGCAAAATCTTTTTCCTGTTTGTTTGTCTCTGAAGAGCAGAAGGAATTGAGCATTTACAAAGAAAGCAAATGCTGTCAACAGAGCTGATCCCTCGGCAGACACGCAGCTGAGGATGTTTTCAGAGTTTTTGCTGGGATAGGAAAAACATGAATGTCAGCAATATAACAGTAGACTCATGAAATAATTCATTCTGCCACAGCGGACATTCGCTAGGGGCAGGAAAGCTCACACACCTCTACCCTGCATTACTCCTGGCTCTGCATGTCAACCTACCTCTGTCAGGAAAACGCAGGAGGAAGACACCATCCCATAAAAGAGTTTAAACTCCAAACAGTCCCTTGGAGTTTGGAGGCATTAACAGCTGACTATCTAACCAGGTTTTCAGTTTCCCACTGCAGGCACTGGACTTGCCAGTCAGCAGTTAAATGCCAGGGAACTGTACAAAAGTCCAGGAACACCTGTGTAAGAAAAGGTGTGAGGAGTTTGTTTGCTTTGCTTGTTTTAAGTGTTCACTATAAGGAAACATGACATTCCAGGGTGCAAATCCTGATCAAATCAGCATGACCAGCAGGAGGTCCTGTACAAAAATCCATTTGTTAAAAAAAAATAAGGGCCATTAACTAACAGACAGTGATCTACATCCCCAAGAACTACTTGCCCCCATTCAGGAGGCAGTGGCAGTGTCTGCCTTCCTGGACAAAAGTGCAGCAGGAAATAGCCTCCAAGAAATAAAACCAGCCTTTGCACTGTCACGTTTATTTGCAGTTGGCTTTGGGAAGGGGTAGGAGAAAGGAAGGTTGCTGCATTTCAAATTACAGACTACTTTTCCAATATCAATTTCACATAAGGAGACAAATCAATCAGAGCAAACATTACCACCCTGTTCTCCTTTCTAGCTGACTAGCCTCTACCTTGTTTCTTTTTTGAGAAGTGCTTTTTTAAATTCTGGTGTAAGCAGCTTCATCAGACACTATGGTTCACATCCATCTGCTGTCTGAGAGGATTTAAACCCACATCTCCCATCTCACTGGGAAACGTCTCTGGCTACCTGCGGTGACGGTGGCCTCCAGCTTAGCTGGGTAAGAGGTTCTACATGCACAGCAGAACCAGAAGAAAGGGCTTCTTAAGAATAAGAGCCAGACAGGAAGTGCGAGTTAAGCCTATTAATTGAGAAACTTGAATATAAAAAAAACCTCCCCGAAAATCAAGCCAGCAGGAAAAGTACAAGGACAAGGTACCTTATGTCCCTGATTTATATCATTAAAAACAGAGAGGCAAATTTGTGTAAATCTACTGTCATGCAAGGAGTTGCTCTGGGAAGGTGCTTGGTCCTGTGCTTTTAGAAGGGCTCCAAAGGCCAGCGGTCATCACACACCCAGCTCTGGTGAGATCTGTGGAGTTCAGGTAGTCTTTGGAAAAATGCAGCAGAAAGTTGCAAGTCAATAATGCTTACAACTAATGAGCAGTCAATTCTCAGACCTAGCTGTCTGGTTGTTCTTCTGTCTGCGTTTATTATCCAAGGTAGTAGGCAACTGAGAAACAACAATATGAGAAGTAAGCAGTGGGTGAGGGCAGCCTGAATCAGATTTCAGCCTGCTGTCATCGTGCAGCAGTCCTAGCAGGAATACTGAACATTTTAGTCCCCCGATGAGACTAACATGTCATTACAAGAGGTTGGACAGTAGGTCAGTGTCTGTTACACAGACTGCACCGCAGCCCAGAGATGGCACCTTATGTGCTTTGGCTCATACACGGTCTTTGTGTACAGACATAAAAGACCTGTGCCAAGACTCTGCCACTGAGCTGCAGACTGCAGAAAGCCTTGGTGTGAACACTAACTCCAGGTCGCTTCATTAGGACCGATTGCTTATTGTATTAAATAGAGACCAATATTTGTATTTGCCATTTAGCAGAGTTTAAGCTTGTGCCTCTCTTCGAGCAAGCAGAGCTAACCTTTTTGTTTAGTGGTATTAAGCGGCCCATCTTTGTCATTCCTATCATGTTGACTTGGCTTACGGTGCTGTTTAACATCAGCTGCATCTGGTGTAATTAGTTCTTGATGTCCCCCAAGGATATATATACACACACACACTGTGTGTATTGCTGGGCTTTGAGGAATAACTTTAATAAGCAGAGTATACACTGTCAAAAAGCAGGGCAGGCTGCACACAGGAGGAATTCTTAAGTGTAAGTCATAGTGCAGGGAAGGAGATTTACCGGTGGGTAAAAAGAGCAGTGGACAAGATTTCAGAGAAGTAGAAAGGAGAAAAAAAATCAATTTGCCAATCATGTCCCTGCCTAATCATTTCCTCAGCCAAGGATTTCCAACTACTGTGCTTTGCCTTAGGCAAAAAAGTAACAATTTACTAGGAAAATACAATATGTAAATGGGCACTAGTCATCTTATACAGCTGGACAAGTCTGAACAGCTGACTGTTTCTGCTAAGTACACTGTTCCCAGGGCGCTCCTCGGCTGCCACTGTGACTAATTTGCTAGAAATGGCTGGAGGAACATTCCTTGGGGATCCACAAAAATAGATGCAGCATAGCCATGAGACCACTCTAGGAATGAGCTGCATGGTCGAGCCATTGTATTCAGGCCCCTCGGCAGAGCATGTACTTAAAATCACTCAGGTTACCTGAGGAGCTAGTCCTTCCCCCCCAATGGGCCAAGCAGAGCTTCCAGGGGCTGGGAGCAGATTCAGCTCTAGAGTGCAAGTCTTGGCAGGCTTGACCTGTTTCACCCTCCCCAGGCAGGATGGGACCCTGTCTTGAGAGGCCACCAGGGTGAGACCCCAGATAAGCCTCCTCTGAGCTCTGCATCTCTGCATCCCTCTCATAAAGGGTGATCTCCCACTTCCACTAGCTCCAGCATTTTGCTAGCTTCCAGCTTCCAAGTGTTTCCTCCTTCGGCTGAGACTGAGCCTCCCCAAACATGGGCTGACATTGCCTCAGCAGGGAGAGGACCCTCCACCGATCCGACATCTCCACTGATCTGGAACGGACCGAATTGACGTTCGCTGTGGGAACAGTCCAAATCGGCTCAATAGCTCGTCAGTTCCCAGAAAAGCAGCAGCTCAGGACAGAAGACTGAAAGGGAGCGGTGGGATGCTTGCTGTTCAGAGAGCCGAGCTGGAGGAGCGACGGCCGGGCAGAACTCGCTTCTGCTCCTCTGTCGGGGAGGCGAAGGGGCTCCCCTGGGGCCGTGAGAGCAAACCCCCCCCCCGCCCCGCCGCGGGCTGCGCGATCCGGGCCCGGAGCGGTGGGCCCTTCTGCCCAAAGGTCGCGGCGCTCG